GAGCCCTCCCTGGGCTTAACGGGGAAACAGGAGCCCTCCCTGGGCTGAACTGGGGAACAGGGTAGTGCTTACGTGCTGCTGGCACTGGAGGGCGCCCTGGCGGAGCAGGCACAGCGAAGTGCATTCAAGGAGCTGGGACTGGTGTGAGTTTTGGGGCTGGAGCCGACACTGGAGTGAGCTCTGGGGCTGGAGCCGACACTGGAGCGAGCTCTGGAAGGCGCTTACGCGGAGCAGGCACTGGGGCTGGGGCATGAATGCATGGCGGGCTTGCCATATTATCGTACGGGGGGCTTGCCACATTAACATCCTTTGGGCTTGCCACATTAACAGCCGGCGGGCTTGCCACATTAACGTCCGGTGGGCTTGCCTGAGGAACGGCCGGCTTACTTGACTCGGGAAAGGCCGGTAGATGGGTCCCGGATCGGGATCAGAAGCTCCACCGGATGACTGCCTCCTTCCAGCCGAGGGTGGTGGTGTCTGGGAGCTCCGCGGGACGATGGTAGGTTATCCCGATCCGGAACAGCGTCACGAGGGTTTCTCCCTCGAGGGAGCTGGCGAGGGCGAGCGGCACGAACGTGGAACCTCGCTCGTTCCTCTATATTAACGGGGAGAAACGAACATGGGAAAAAACAAACGCACTATTCAAAAAACGAAAAACAAACACGGGTAGAGGGGGCGCCGCTTACTGTCACTTTTAGGGTCTGGAATTCTGTCACTGGATGCTACTGTGAGGAGCACGGAGCGAGGAACGAGGTGATGCGGAATTCATTTCAAACAGTCTTTAATAAACTTCCAAAGGAACCAGGAGAACACACGTAGCAATGTAGACAAAACAATTTGCAGACAAAAACTCAGAACAGGCTAGAACTAAATAGGGCAGATAACGAGGGGCAGACAGGTGATGGGGATAACTAATAACAAGGAACAGGTGATACTAATAATGGGAAAAGGAACTGGAAGGACCAAATAAGGACAACAGGAACTAAACGGGAACATACACGTTACAATTGCGACTTTTTATCTCACAATTCTGACTTTTTTCACAGAATTGTGAGATATAAACTCGCAATTGCAAGTTATAAAGTCAGAATTGCGAGATATAAAGTGAGAATTGCGAGATAAAAACTACAATTCTGACTTTTTTTCTCGCAATTGCGAATTCATATCTCGTAATTCGGACTTTTTTTCTCAGAATTGCGAGTTTATATCTCGCAATTCTGACTTTATAACACGCAATTGCGAGTTTATATCACGCAAATATGAGAAAAAAAGTCAGAATTGCGAGTTTGTATCACGCAATTATGAGAAAAAAAAAAGTCAGAATTGTGAGATAGGAGTCGCAATCCGTGTATCATTCGATCATTCGTTTTTTGATTTAATATTGAAAGTAGAAAAATGAGAAAACGGCATTCATGGGTGGAAAAATTAATAAACAACTTGAATATTCGATTTCTACATGTGGGTGGGAATTAAACGCCCCTTTCTGCTGATTGGTCAGCCAAAGATCAAACCGTGCTGTCATCAGTTCTTCTGCAGTATCACGCAGCAGAATAATAGTCCTCCACTGCTGCAGTTGTATGGATTCTTAACGCATTTATTGCAACTACATTTCATACGTTTCTCATCAAACAGACTAATGAATAGCTCGACACAACTCGTACCGGGGCAGAGTCTAGACAGGTCTTCTCTTCTGTGTAGACCAGCGGTTCTCAAAGTGATAGGGGCTCCGCGAAATAATTTGCTATAGCCTAAAGTATTTCCAGACTGTAAATCTCGCACTTGCCAATTTAATGGCAGAGAATGGTGACTTTAGTTTGTTTTGTTTGTTTTTTTTAAGCGGATGCATATCTGTCGTAAAATAATCCTATGCATCTCGTGGCGTGATGCAGCGGTCATATCATACCCTACCATGCCCAGCTGATGCAAAAAATAGAATTTATATATACTAGGGCTGCACGATAAATCGCATGCGATATTTAACGCGCATCTTATCAGTAAAGCCGGTTCTGTTGCAGCCCTAATATATACACAGAAGAAAGCCCTGTCTAGACTCTGCCCCGGTATGAGTAGTGTCAAGCTATTCATTACCCTGTTTGTTTGGTGAAAAAAGATTAAATGTAGTTGCAATAAATGCGTTAAGAATCCATACAACTGCAGCAGTGGATGACTATTATTCTGCTGCGTGATACTGCAGAAGAACTGATGACAGTGCGGTTTGATCTTTGGCTGACCAATCAGCAGAAAGGGGCGTTTAATTCCCGCCCACGTGTAGAAATCGAATATTCAAGTTATTAATTTTTCCACCCATGAACGAAAAACGAAAATTTAAGCATCTCTCTTGAACAAAAAAAGTTTTCAGAATGTATTCCAAAATCCTCCAAGATTAATCACAACAATATGAACATAAATTCAAAGAATAAAGAACTTGAAATTTAGAAAAAGGTACATAACAACATACATGGAAAAAGAACTGCGGATTCCATAAGCATGTCTGGTCGGGACAGTAACAGGTAACAGTGACTTTTCTGATTTAAGTGGATTTAAGGTACATCTCTTCAAGATTACAGGTACTGTAATTTTTCAGATGGAACTTGAAAATTACACACAAAAAGTACCATTTGATCATGGTAGGTCTGTCTTAAAAAAGTTTATACTGAAATCAATTTATATATAATATAAATGTGGGAGCTTTACTTTCAAGTCACTGACTATTGTGGTGTTTCCCTACATTTCCATTTGTGTTATTCGATGACATTTCAATTATTCTAAATCACAGAAAAATAGTGATAATGTGTGTCTAAACTTGTCAAACTAAACAAGAGGAGATATTTGCCATGTTTATGCTGTGAAGTCCTGAGAAGTTGCTACTGAGCTCACCTGAATTGAAGTGAGGTCTGCTATCCAACGGGATGGACACCAGGGAGTCCACGATGTCTGACCTTCTCTGAAGGAGTTTGGAGATCATCTCAAACCCCTGAGGACCTAAAAGCTCAAACAGCTGACAGTGAGAGAGAGAGAGAGAGAGAGAGAGAGAGAGAGAGAGAGAGAGAGAGAGAGAGAGAGAGATAGATATAACAGTGAGAGAGAGATGAATGTGAAAAATATGAGATTAGATACAAAGGATGTGTGCAGATGTGTGACAAGTTTACACAAAAGAGCAACCAGAACACATACAGTACTGCAATATGACAAAACCACAACAATTAATACAAACTGTGTCAAACCTAAGTGATCCAAAGTGCTTCAAACAAAACTTTTAAAATTTGAAAGATTTGATGCCCTGAACTTCACACATTTCGGCAAATCAGTGGCCATTGTTCTCCAAGTGGGTCGTCTGAGACTGAAAGTAGACCTGAGTGGATCCAGTGTACACTGGTGAATCATAAAAGTTCAGTATGACTGTACTTATAATTTAGTGTGAAATGCAGCAGAGATGGGACTTTATAACACATTTCACTAATCATGAGTACTGCATTGTATAAAAGTAGTAAGTAAGTAAGTTTTATTTATAGAGCACATTTAAAATTCAGCGTTACACTGACCAAAGTGCTGAACAAAACCAATAATAAAACACAGTAAATTCTAAAATAAAGTAAAATTTAAAAAACAATAATAAAAAAAATTGTAATATCGGCAATAACAACAGTTTCACATTCAATTAATAGCCCGGAAAGGCGAGAGAGTAAAAATGTGTCTTAAGTCTGGACTTGAAAATAGAAACAGAAGAAGCACTCCTAATGTCAGGTGGCAACTGATTCCACAAGTACTGAATGGATATTTAAAAACTGACGAGACAAACGACATGCCGACCAACACACAGGCGCCATCTTTCATCTGTCCAATAGTGCATTGGACAAAAAAAAAAACATTCTGAGAGTTACTTGTTTTGTGTGTTATCATGTGTTATGCATTATTTTAATGTGTAGCTATTGTGAGCATATGCATATGGAACAATTGTAGTGTTATAAGGGATGAACTAAAGCTATACTGACACTAACAACAAAAAATATAATTAAAATGCACCATAAAGACTCAATTTAACTTTATAAACAAAATGAAAAAAACAATCTACAATTACTTTCAAGTTAGGCTTAACAAAAAAATGGAACCCTCTTAAATTTTGCCATTTGTAAAGAATCCCAATACCTCTTGTTAAAACTTTAAAAATGTAATTAAGTCAATCAAATAATATCTTACTTTAGTACTGTAAACATACTGTGAAGGTAATTATCCTAATACACCTAAAGCTAAGCTACGCACAAGTAGAGGCAAAGCTTTTAAAGGTAGCAGGCAGGATGTGCTCAAGACTTCAGGAAGCTTAATGAGTTGAAAATCACCACAAAAGCCACAGTCTAGTCTTATGCATAAATCAATTTTACATAAAATATAATACATATAGTGTTGAGCAATCATCTCTCAGGGGAACTACAGTATGGCAGATACTGAAATGATGAGCTACAGTTGTATGCTTTATGGTGAAACAATGACACTGACAACGTTAATTAAATTAATGAGAACAGTACTGGGGACTTGTGGTCAAATCGAATTATCATGTTGGACTTCCTCAATTACCTCTCTAAGAGCAGTTTTTAAGGATAATACTGATCTGCAAATGTCTAAAATAAGGGTGATACTTTGGGAACACTGAAGGGTTTTATTTATTAATTTATTTATTTCACTAGTACAGTTTGAGAAAGAAGAAACCAAAACTATCCACCCCAGTGTATGCAAATGTTCATCCATCTTTAAGAAAAGTTCACAAAGCTGCATATTTTGATCCTTCATGTACTATAATGTACAGTAAAATACATCCTATAAATACATGCAGCCACTCTACATTTAAATTCCATAGCGGCAGCAGGACTCAAAAACCCAATGGATCCTCTGCAGTTAACGTCTTGTGAATTGAAAATCTACTTGTTTAGAAGAAACAAATCCATCAATAAGACATTTTTTACTTTAAAATGCTTCCAGGGTATAATCAAGTCCTCTATTCATAATATTGATGGACTGGAGTGGTGTGGATTACTTGTGGATTATTGTGATTGTTTGATCAGCTGTTTGGACTCTCATTCTGACGGCACCCATTCACTGCAGAGGATCCATTGATTAGCACACGATGGAATGCTACATTTATCCAAATCTGTTCAGATGAAGAAACAAACTCATCTACATCTCGGATGGCCTGAGGATGAGTACATTTACAGCTAATTTTCATTTTCGTTTAAATTACTATTATTATTCTTTTTTTTTTTAAGTACCTACAGTACATTGATAAAGTAAAAAATCATTTTAATTACAGTGCAAAATGTGAAGGAGCTCATAAGGAAACATTTTTAAAAGTCATGGTGATAAAATTGTGCCTAGTGTAAATGAACTATAATGTTGCTGCATCCTTCATTCATCTGACTTCAGTTAAAAGCCACTGTCCTCCACATCCTGTGTAATCTAAAATCACTCTCTTCCCAAAATGATTTTAACAGCCAAATAACAATAAAATGGTATTGATATGACAGTTTCACTGATATGACTGTAAAATCTTTTCAGCAGATCTTTTGTACAGATAGCACTCCTCTGCAGGGTTGCTAAATAAAAGCTGTAAATGTGCTTAAAAAAAAACAAAAAAACATGAGCAGGCAACAAATGTGCACTTCCATGCTGAGAGTACAAAGCTTTTTCATTCCAGTAGATACACATTTCCTGTACTCTCCAGAGATTATTACAAAAACTTTGCAAGTTTTTTTGTCTTTTTGTGCTTGTGTGGTGCGCCGTCTTTTTAGAGTCTTTTTATTTAAATGCATTTATATTGTTATTTTGCTCATTGTACTTTTTTCTACCATCACAGAAAGTGTTATTTGTTTATGACTTTCACAAAAACTCAAGAAATTTAAGCCTATTTTTGCACTCAGTAAGGTTTTTGTAGAGTGACATGAATTTTCTTTCCCCTAACTGTCAAGTGAACAAATCTTATTCATATTACTCTAATTTGAAGTGAAGTGACGTGTGGCCAAGTATGGTGTCCCATACTCGGAATTTGTGCTCCAATATGTTTTTCAGCTGTTATATTTTTAAGCATTCCATCAATCTGTGGTTTTCTCCTGGAAAAGCAATTCTAAATTGCCTTTAAATTAGCTTTATCGTCTAATCTTTTCATTGCTCTAAATATATTTGCTTTATCAGCAAATGTCATGATTTATGAAGTACACGTGAAATATTAAAAGCTGCTCTTCACACTGTCACTGTCAGGTTCAATGGTAGTGAATGGACAGCCTCTTAACTTTTCTGTTGTTGACTTTGGAGTGACACGTGCAGAGAATACTGAAGAGACGGGCACACAAAGTCCATCCCACATCTAAAGGTGTCAGTGGAATAGCTGGCTTCATGTCAACTACGTGAGGAACATTAGAACAGGATGTATCTCAGGTACTACAGTGCACAATGTTGGCACAGGGGACCACCCTGTGGTCTCAAAGCGACTATAAAGGCATTACCCACCAAAAAAATTAAAAATAAATAAATACTGTAAATACAACGTCACACTTTCTACCATAAAATAATCGTAACAGTGACATAATCCACCAAAAACACTATGTAGTTTCTATAGATTTCTTGATTTTTTATGTTTTCATGCCACAAAACACACTGTAGTGGACACAGACCAGCTCAAGTGCTTGTTCCAATAGCACCTTAATGCAGTCTGGGTCATAGTGTTTTAAAATTTTAACCTACAGTTTTTTTTTTTTCTTTTTTTTGGGGGGGGGGGGGGGGGG